CTGCCTACTCTGGGAAGCGCTGGTCTAGGGACAGTTCCGCTCCATCCTAGAGGATTTGCTGTGAGCTGGGACATAGGAGGACAGTGTTTGGGTTTTTCACCCTGAAGTGCTGTGTTCCCAACCCACCCCACAGTACTGTGGAAGAGGGGCCTGGCGTCAATGAGAATGAACCGCCGGGAAGCCTGTGTGAAGTCGTTCTACTCTGTCACCCACGGGGTCACCATGGGCTTGGGATCGGCTGGCCAGCCGTGGGTTTGGTTTGGTTTGCTGGTTTGTTGAGGACGCATTCCAAGTCTCAGCCCCTGAGATCTAAAGGGCCCTGTCTCTCCAGCCCCCCACCCCCACCCCCACCCCGGAAAATGACTCCCCGTGTAAAACCACCCGCTGTCCCACCCCCGTGACTGTTGCAGATGGTCTGCGGCTGTGGACCACCCATCGGAACGGGGAAGTCCAACTGAGGCTCATGAAGCACGGGCCGGGCCACGAGACTCCGATGACCATCCCTGAGTATTTGCGGGAGTCGGTCAGCCGGTTTGGGACTTACTCGGCCGTCGGCTGGATGGCTAACAACCAGTGGGAATTTCTGAATTACAACCAGTACTACGAGGCGTGTCGGAAGGCCGCCAAAGCCTTCCTCAAGGTACAGGGGTCCCGGGGTCCCTCATCGGTGGTCCACTCACACACTCTGAACTGGCCGCACGGGCCAAACACAGGGACACGGCGCACGCTGCTATAAGCTCATTCGGCCTCTTCGTTGGTGTTTTCAGTGAAGCTGATCGCCAGACCTTTCTTCCATGGCATACCAGGAAGAGTCCGGACTGCCAGTCTCCAGATTAGTAGTCAAGTGCATGCAATTGGCACCAACCCAGGGACCTTAAACAGCGCCATCCAGTCCACCATCACTCACGGTGCCCTGTGTGTCACTCAGACCTCATACTTATGGCTCCAAAGCCACAGGTGCTGAAGGACCCACAGGGTAACTGGCAGGAGGTTCCCTTGATTCTCGGTGAGCCGGCTTCCCTCTGTGTAGAAGCCTCCACTGCCAGCCCCCGGGTGTGCACTGGTGGGGGGAAGATGCTGTGTTCTCTAGTTTCCAATCTCTGGGTGTTGCAAACAGTCTAATCCTGGCTACTAACCAAGAGCTGGTGGTCTGGGGTCACCCAACGGAGCCCAGGACAAAAAGGCCCGGCCGGTTCTGTGATTATGCCAGCCAGGAAAAAACTCTGTCACACGTGGGATGGCCCTACCGGCAACAGATTCGGTCGGCTTTTATATGTGACAACATTTGCACACATGCACATTTTTACCCACACGGCAGCCGGTGACACCCAATATCCTTAAGGTGACCAGACGTCC